GGTTTTTGTAAAAAATAGATACAAACGTAATAACCTATTTATACTAATAAAATATAATTAAAATATTGATCGATAGTATAATCTAAACTATATCTAATTCATATAACATAATCTAATAATATAATATAAAGTTTCTTTCACATATAGTTCATACTAGACATCAACTTTATCCGGTAAGAAAATTGCTAATATACGATACCAATAGAGATATTTTGAGAGATGTAACCCAATCGTAAGAATTCTAAAGATAAATTTAAACCGAGGGTAAATTGTAAGCACTAAAATGCCAATTTTAACCAAAATTACCTATATTAGGATGAAAGAATTTGATAGAAGTAAGTTTAATATTTTCTAACAAAAAGAAAATGATGGGTTATGAAACAAGTTAGAACAGGTGAGAAATTGAATCACACTTTTGTTACCATTATATTGATTTTTGTGAAGGGGGTAAAAAGGGAAATAAAACTTTGTGCATTGAACCTAAAATCCACTCTAGTATAACCAAAAGGACAAGTATAAATTTTGAACCTCCACAATATATGAGAGTTGAAAACAAAAAACCCAAATTAAGTAAGGCTGCAACTGCAAGTTCCACTGTAAAAAAGAATGAAAATGATTGCTAACGACTTTTGAGCGAGTCTGAATTGACGAACACTTATGATCCAACAAAAATTGAGAGAGTCACAAGCGTTAATCTATCTAAATAAATTGTTTTGGGTGTCAACACCAAAACCTCTTGCCACTGCACCAGCACTCGAGGGTCTGCCATTGGACTATGAATTATGTTAGAATCCATATAAATGAATTAAATTGATCCAACGAGCTTAAACTTTTTGGTTGAGTGATGGTTTATTCATTCTTAAGATGGTATTAGAGTGGGAACCCCTGCGTAAATGATTTCCACGTGCTTTGTTAGGTCACTTTTTATAAAATTTATATATTTAGGACTTCTTTATATCCAGCTTTCTTTCCCTGCTTATTTTTAAATAGAAACAGGGGACAAGTGCATTAATTAATAATCATGTTCTAGAAATCATGGACAAATTATTTTATATCAGATCTAGGTTCATGTTTTTTTGTCTTTATAATTAATTTCTATTCTATTTTTCCTTATAAGTTATACGTTTAATATCAAAACCTAAAATTCGTATGACAATTTACGAAAATATATAGATATACTTTTTCAAAATAAAAATTACAACAAAAACCAAACATTTGCATTTTAAAATATTGAAGATTAAATGAAAGGAGAAGGATAATCGAACAAATTTCTATTTTTATTTAGAAGAACAAAAATATTGGCCAAACATCATTGTTGAATTAAAAAAAATAACAATAATGGAGAAGGAAAAGAATAAAGCGTAGGAAGTAACAATAAATTCTTAATATAAGATTTGGGGAATCAAGATCAGGACTTAACACGAAAAAAAAATTCTATTCTATAAATAATTTTAATTATTTGAAAATAAAATTTTAAATATATATATATATGTTATTTATTTATTTATATATATAATAGAAAATGGTGAGAATTATACATATTAGAAATATAAAAAACAGTGTCGGGGTTGGTCGGTTGGGAGAGAATTTATTTCCACTCTAATTTAGAAAAAAATTATGGGGAAAGTTTTTCCTTCAATCTCCACTCTCGTTTTGAAAGGAAAATTTCTAGTCTTATTTTGTGTGGGGTTTTATGAAAACTTGATTAGATTTTTCCCATTTATAGTAGTCCATTACACATCATTTGTTAATGTTGATTTCTATCAAGTATTAGGAACCAACGAGAACTTCACTCGGACAAACTGTGCATGGGCGAGCTGGAGAAGGAAGACCTGCAAAGACAAGAAGAGCACTCCGAAGTTTAAGTTAGTCTGAATTCGAGCTGAGCAGTTCAACTTTAGACAAAATTGCATACCTGACCAAGTAGAATGAGGGTGTGTATTTATAGTGGGTTACTAGATAATTACCTGTTCCAACAGAACTGTTTTCCAAGTCGGTGAACCACTCTCCACTATTGACGAAATTGCATGACGTTAGAGTTCATCCCATACGAGTTCATCCCTACTTACTTTGTTAGTCTAGACCATTGAGCCCGACCCACGTGGCTTTCGGAGCCTCACCTTCTAACATCGTCAAATCATCAAAAGACTCTCCTATATTAATTAAGAACTAGGCTTTCAAGTATTTCCACTCATTTAAATTGGGCTTTAAAGAAGTTTTTACTTTTTAATTTTTACTATTTAGAGTAACAAGGGTAGATTTGGAGGGACAAAAAATGTGGCAAAAACAATATTAAACTAAAAGAACAGTTTGAAGGATAATTTTGAAAATATGGACAGCACTTGCCCTAGAAGAAGCCATATGAAAATGGGACCATTTTCTTTAATAATAAAATAATATATGATGTGGGCCATATTTTCCACCAAACTTTATTGAAGACTTATCCAAACAAGACAAATGAGTTTTAGAGAAAGGGAGAGGCAAATTGGCAAGTTGTGTKAAATCAATGAATCTGAAATGTCTAGGGCCATTTACGTCTTTTTCGTCAATCTATTTTCCTAAGAAAGGAAAAAAAAAATACACATGATTATCATTTTTCTACTCAATTTTTTTAATTATAGACAAATGATTTCTTCTAGAAATTTTGTTTGGGAAAAAATTCATTTTTAGTCCTTTACTAACTCTAACAATTGAATGAGTGTCATGTTAATAGCTATTTCAAGTTTAATTTTAAAAAATTACTTATTCTAGATAGATCTATACAATCCAATTGATAAATATTATTGAGATGAGATTCTGACTGAGTTACATGTCAGCAAGTAATCTAGGTGGATTCTGACGAGCTAATGAACAACTTACAAATAGAACCTTGCATTGATGTGGTGTTCGACAGTACACTTTGAAGCCTAATTAAGTTAGTACTTAGTTTGAGTTTATGTAGAACCAAGTCCAATTACGTACCTTTGAGAATATGGGACGGATTGATCTGGCTTTTAAAAACGTGGCACTGCAATTACGGTACTCATACTTGTCACTTAGCAAATCTTCCGCTTATAGTCAAAAGTTCTCATACCAGCGAAATTGACACCCACCAAACTGTTAGTGGATTCTTCGCCAGTTCGAATATTTTCCAATTGTCGGAGTCGAGCTGAGCTGCTCTCTACTACTTCAGTACTTCTAGACACGCTGGTCACTTCCTTCTCGTCCCGAATGAGTCCGAGCTGAGGCTTAAACACACATGTCTCGATGGGGTGAGTCACATGTTTACCTTTGGTTTACATGAAAAATTTATTGATCCAGCAAAAATATTAATTAGGTAAAAGATATGCTCAAACTAAGAAAAATGAAATGTCCTCGCTTCATTAGAAATTTGACCCGGACCTTCTTTCCCAGCTTTTTACTTTTCTAAAAAAAATCCCTATGAATTTCATTAATGAATATCTCTCCCGCCCTAACGCACTCTCAGCAGTCTCCGTGACGAAAAAAGCGGCATCGTTGTCTTTGGAAAAGAAAAATCTAACACAACCCGGAAAACTAGTACCCACAAAATATCTTGGTTCAATCACAAGAACAATCTCATTTGTCTTTTCTTCTCTTTTGACAATTGGGTGATCAGTTGAGTTTTTAATTGGGTGGGGTCAAATTTTTTTTTTTTTTTTTTCAAAATGTCATGTTTTCATTTTAATTGTTGAAAGGTTTATGAAACATTAGAAGCAAAATAGTAGCCCATAAACATAATGCAGGTTGATTCCTTTAAGTTCAGTAATTGAGATATTGATTCTTAGTCTCTTAAATTTCAAAATATTTATCTCAATTTACAAACTTAAAAGTAATTATTTTCACTCTAAATTGTTGTTTTGTCACTTAAAATTAACCCTACTAGTCTTAACGAATTTAAAGGAATTTCATTGCATGTCTAATGTCAACGTGTTAACATACATAATAGAAAGTTAAATTACCATTTATTAAATAATTAAGAATAAAATAGTGACAAAATATTAGAGTTCTTTGTAGTACCATAAGTAGGTGAGAGGATTCGAACTTTAAACTTTTAGAAAGATAAGTGTTGGGGGTGAGGTCGAGGTGTGTCAAGTGGTCTCCTCCATGTTGTGTGACCCTCTTGCCACAGGTAAATTATAGTTTGGCTACCAAGTATGCGGGAGTATAGGCAATTCACCTCAACCCCCAATGCAAAAGCATTTGCTCGGTCCTTACTTAAGAATGTTAATACTACCGATAGAGGATCCGATTGATCACTGGTTAGACATCTGCTGATTAACAAATATGAAGCACCAAGTAGCAGGATAACACGCTTCCCAAAACTATTATATAAAAGGTGGAGTTTCATCCTCATCAAAGTACACAATCCATTATGCAACCTAACCAAACTTAGTTCAACACCAATTTAGACTAAGTACTGATTTAAGTTTCGGAGCATCACACGGTACAAGGTTCTATCTTTAAGCTACTAATTCGACTGACCATATATCTACTTCAAATACGAATTTGATGTGTCACCTAGCTCGTTTAACTATTATCTTCATCAATTAAGTTATATTTACCCTTCGAAAGTTTCGAAGATTAAAACAGAATTTAAACAAAAACAAAGGTTTCTAAAAAGAGAATAGAAATAGAATATGAAGAGAGTAATTAAATAGTGGAATGAGAGGGCGATGTGAAGGTGCTGGGAAGAAGTGGGAAACAGAAAAGAAGATGACGCACATACCGACAAACAACAAATGGCGTGTGAATCACCGGTGACGTCAGCAGTTGTCCTGATCCAAAATCCCCAATTTCCCCACGTGATTAAATTCCCCCACACAACTTGCACATTTTTTCTGAACTTTCTTAGAACCCCCTTCCCACCACTTTTAAAACCCACATCCATTCATTAAAAATTAATTAATAATAATAATAATTCCAACAAAATTAGATTAAAAAATTAAAAAATTCTCCACATAGTTCAGGTTCATGTATCTGCTTTTCTTATTTATATCCTTCAATTTTTCGTATCCCCAACTCTTCAATTTCATTCAGATTCAGATCTCTCTCTCTAGAACTCAAAATTTGGGGGAAAAAATTATGATGTACGGACAGAGTAATGGCTGCGAATCCGATTTTCTTCTTCTGGATTCGATACGGCGGCATTTATTGGGCGATTCGGAGACTCAGCGGTGTGGGAATTTCGCCGTCGCCGGAACCGCCGCGCCGGTGTTCTGCCGAAGCTCCAGTTTCGGCAGCTTGTACCCTTGTTTGACGGAAAATTGGGGCGATTTGCCCCTAAAGGAGGACGATTCCGAGGACATGGTCATCGCCGGAGTTCTCCGCGACGCAGTCAGAGCCGGTTGGGTTCCGTCGCTCGGCTCTTCCCCGCCGGAGACCTTTAGTTTTGATTTTTTCGACGTCAAGCCGGAGCCGGAGATCCTCCCGCCGGTGAATCTGATGCCGGAAGTGAGGGAGTTTGAGGCGAAGGTGGTGGTGGAGGCGGCGGCGGCGGCGCCGTCGCCGTTGCCGGCGGTGGTTCCGGCGAAGGGGAAGCATTACCGTGGGGTCCGGCAGCGGCCGTGGGGGAAGTTTGCAGCGGAGATTCGAGACCCGGCGAAAAACGGGGCTCGGGTCTGGCTCGGGACGTTCGAGACGGCGGAGGACGCGGCGCTAGCTTATGATCGAGCCGCTTATCGGATGCGCGGCTCCAAAGCTCTCCTCAATTTTCCACTTCGAGTCAATTCTGGCGAACCCGACCCGATTAGAGTGACGTCGAAGCGGTCGTCGCCCCGATCGTCGCCGGAGCCTTCGTCGTCATCCTCGTCGGAGAGTGGGTCCCCCAAGCGGCGGAAGAAGGCGGACGGCACGGCGGTGACGGGAGTTGTAGTGGTGGGGACAAATGAAATGCAAGTGGGAGCTGACGAGGCGCAGTGTACAAGTGGCGGGCAATGATTGGGTGAGCAGTGCTGATAGTGAAAGAAGGGGAAGAAGAGAAGAAGAAGCACTTTGCCACTTGGTGAATTATTGAGGGACTAAAAAAAATCTGTAATTATTTTTTGAAAATCATATTTTAGGGGTAGATTTGGTAGGTTTTATTTTGGAGTTTTCAAAGATATAAAATTTCCCAAAAAAAAAAATTAAGAAAAATAGGTGGGAAAGTAGGATTGGTACATAATGGGTGGTTGGATTTGCTAAAGCAAATTTGTTGATTGTTTAAAAAATATATATCCCTTTTGAATGGAATTTTTCTATTCTTTTCATCCTCCATTTTTGCTTTAGTTTTACTAATGATTATTATAAAGTAGATAAATATATTTCATAAAATTTAAATGAGGTGCCATCTTAGGAAGCCAATTGGACAAATTGCAAATTTAGATGAATGAATAAGGAGTACAAGTTGAGATTAAAAAAAGGGACAAAATCAAAGGATCTGAATTAGTTGGTTGGTTCAACTACACTTGTCGATCGACAATTGAGTTTGTTGATTGTCGAAATTTGACCTCTCGAAATTACCAAATTTGAATCAATATTTTTGTAATAAAAGGGATTCAACAAACCTACAAAATAAAAAGTTGCACATGGATGTGGTGTTATGTTAGCCAGAATACTCCGATGCTTAAATCGAAATCGAGATTTTATGTGAAGCATAGCAAATAGTAGAGTTCCATAGCGTACCTTTTATGAGGTTTTTACCTTTATCTATAGATGGAGGAAACCTATAGTCGATGGGAAACCTAAAATCAATAGGATATCTTTTCATTTTGCATTTGTTAGATAAAATGAATTCAAAACGGTATTTCAAATTCTGTAGATTTTGTGATCTTCCCTGGCGAGCCTCTACTAAACCCATTGATTTGTGACTAACTGGAGGACTCTTGATCGAGTTACTAGTCAAGCTAATCGAAAGATTGGTTTGCCTCGTGGCCTAGTCAAGGCTGGTTGGCCTAATGGCTCGATTGAGTCGACCAGCCGACCATGGCAGGTCGGCCACAAGGCCTGGCCAAGTTGAGCCGACCAAGCTTGGTCTACTACAAGGCCTAGTCAAGTTGACCAATACTAGTCAACTACAAGGCTTGGTTGAGTCGATCAGCCAATCGACTTTTGTGGGCTTGGTCGAGCCGATCAGTCGATCCATTGGTTAGCCTCTGTCATTTTGGGTCCACTTCTTCAATCTCGACCTTTGAATTCTCGAGTGTCCACTTGACATCTGGACTTAGCTTACCTATGGTGGAGTTCAATTTGGATAAAATTTATTGAGTTGATCTTGTTTCAAATTAAATAACTAGATATATACATATAATTCAAAGTTTAGAGAATTATTTAATATTTTTAAAGTCTAAAGACTACATTGACACTAGGTTGAAAGTATAAGGATTGTAATTTAGCTTTATTATTATTAATTAGTTTTTTTAAAAGCTCTCTCATTAGCTCTCTTACTTTGAGGTTAAAAAGGTAAACTTGAGACCAATTTTCAATGCTCATTTGACAATAATATTTAGCTGTTGAATTTCTGACTAATAATTCAAGTTGCAATTATCAGAATTTACATTACCTTTTCCTAAGATTTCAACTTTACTCTTATACTTGGTTTTAGTGAGTTGTTTTTTTACTTAAATCTTTTGATTCTAATGAATACATTTTTAAAAAATAAATTAAAAAAATTATCAACTAATAAATCACATAAAAGAAAAGTAAATGTTAAATTTCATTTTAATCCCCAAACTTTCAATCATTTATTTTAAGTGTTTGTGCTTTTAAAAGATATATTTTAGTTTTTGAACTTTTGTTTACTGTATTTTGGTTTCTAAGAGCTGTTGGGTAACATTATCGTTTTTTTTATTGATTTAAGTTTTACTGACTTAAGAATTTGACAACTATTCATATTTCTTATTTTTTGTTCTTTTAGAAATTTCTCAAAATTGTAAAGAAATTTTAGGAGAAAAAATGAGTTTCTTGTTTATGGTTCTCATTCCAAAAAAAAATCAAATTTCCTTCTTTTTTTTTTTCAATAAAAGCAATTAAAAATAAGAAATAGTTACCAAATGCTATTATATTTTCTTGATTAACAGTAGGAAATAAGTTCACCCTAAATTTTTTAAATGTTTATTCTACTCCAACTTTAAGAAAAAAAAAACAATCATTTTCATCCTTAATATTATTTTTATTAAGGGATCAAAACGATTATTTTTTAAAAGATTAAGATTTCAAATAATGAAATTTAAACCAAACATATAATTTCTCCTTAAAACAGTTAAGAAAATCGAATTGTATTTCACATTTTCACTGTTTTTAAATATATGTTTGGTGGTAAATTAAGAATATGAAACACCTAAAAACATAAATTTTTACTTCCATATAAGTCACAAAATCCTAATATTGCTTTCTAAAATAAAATCACCAAACTAATTCACTCAATTAATCTGTTAATCTAAAAAAAGAGTAAATTATATTCCTTTGAAGGGCAAGCAATTTTTCTTTAATAAAAATAGTAATGATTAATTAAAAAGGGAAAAAAAAAAAAGAAATAGAAAGTGTGAAAAGACAATATTGAATCGTGTCAAATAAAAACTCTTAACAAAAACCATTCGTCAGATTCAGTTTTTTTTTTCCGTTGACTTTTGAAACTCTGGCCATTGACTTTTCTACCCTCCAAATTTCATAACAATTTTAATTTTCAATCTCTTCCAAACTATCAAATATTCTGTTCCAATATTTCGTAGTATGAAATATTCCTTTTGACTTTTATTTCTTTATATTCCTTTTTTTTTATCTTTTTTCTTAATACAATAACGTGGGAGATTTGAATTCCAACTCACAATCTTTTAATCAAAATATTTTCATACGTCGGCACAAAAGTGAAATAAAAAAGTTAAATTCATTTCAATAGTTAATATGTTAGATGTTTTACATGAAATTCAAATACATAAAATTTCAATCTAATTATAAGAAAAGGAGATTATGTCTAGTTTTTGTCGATTATTTCACTAAAATAAATTAAGGTTTAACTCCTGTTTAGCTTTTGACTTTGGTTCATTTTTATTAAAGTACTTTCAGAACGTTCATTTTGGTTCTTATATATTGAACTTTTATTCATTTTTGTAATTGTGGTTTCAAAACGTTTGTTTTCGTTTTAGTATTTCTAAAAAATGACCAATTTGGTCTCTATTTAGAAAACTTTAACATAGATTTAATATAAATTTATGACGTATATTTCAAGAAATTTAATGAGTGAAGTGTTATACTAAAATTATAATAAAAATAAATAAGAACAAAATGAAAAGAAATAGATCAAAATGATAAATTTTTAGAAGTCCAAATACCACAATGGAAATTTCAAAAGTATAAGGACTATAATGAACAAAAATTGAAAGTATAAGGACCAAAATTAACGTTTTGAAAGTATAAGAATCAAAATAATATTTACACCCAAAATTAACTAGACTAGAATAAAAAAATATTTTTATTATTTGCATATTACTCAAATAAGATTTAAACTAAATATTTATTATTTTATTTTGCAAGGAAAAAATAAACTAAAACACTAAAAAAAAGGGCATCTTTGACCAGCAGCTCAGGTTCCTACCTATCCAAGTTAGGGAAAGTATTAATTCTTTGCCTTTTTTTTTCCTATAAGCTAATTTATTTTTACATTATATATATAAACTTTATTTTAAAAAAATCACATAAGCTAGATTAAGAACATTGATTTTGTAATCATAAAATTAGAAATGATAGAAGCTAGCCTGGTTTTAAATATGGTCTAAATTAATTTTTATTTAAAAAATACTGTTAAAATCCATATTATTTAAATTAAATGAACACAAATATTTTAGCAAATAACATAATAATAGCATAGTAGGTAAGATAGTTAAAAGTTAATTTGAGATGACTTTTTATGAAAAATATTTTTAAATTATGGAGTTTTTTTTTTTAATTTATTATATGCATTTCTAAAGACAATATACTAATAAAAGTGGTATTACCTTATCATTTATATTTAGTTACACCAACTTTTGACTTATTATTTTATTTAGAAATTTTTGGCATTAATATATATATAATATGATTTAATATAAGTGACAATAAATATAGAGCTTTCCATATAGTATTATATTAAAAATCTTTCATATAATTGATGTCGTCAATTACTAAACATATGCAAGTATTTTTAAAGTACAATTTAAGTTAAAAGTTTGTACATGTGACTAGTTTTAGTTAGTGGCCTGCATCGAGATAGGTGCTCGGAGAAATTTCTCAATACTACTACATTATCACGGTTAAAGCCAACAATTTTCCAACGATTATAACGAGGAAAAATTTTACATTCTAACTTTTTATATATATATAAAAGGACGATGGATAAATCTGAAAATAAAAACATTAAGACGTGGTTTGAATTTGATAGCAGTTTTATTTTTTATTTTTCATTATTAAAAATTAAGATTATAAAACATTATTTTTCACCAGCGTGGTTCTTTATTTTGTTATCTAATTCCTAAAAAATATTACCAAATTAAAGTTACAATTTGAAAAAATAAAATTAGAAAAATTAATTTTATTATTTTTTTAACCTCTGGCAAAGAATTCCAAGATGATTTTCAATAAAGGTGAAAGGGTATCGAAGAATTTATGAAAAAACAAACAAAACAAATCTCAATTAATATTCATTGTAATCAACAAATATAATATTTTATTATGCTAAAATAAAATAGATATTAATTAATTTATTTATTTATTTTAGTTGAAAAGAGTTATATACTAAAATAGTGGTAGAATTTTAATTTCCTGCTCAATGATGAACAAATAGATATTTTTCTAAGAAAATGTATCTAAAGAAATATCCTTTTCTTTTGAAAAAGAAACATTGGTGAATTTTATCATCCAAATAGTCAATGTCTATAAAGTTTGGTCATCCTAAAAAAAAATAAAAAATAATTATAAAAAACTATAGGTTCATCCTATGTTGAATTGTCGAATTAACCATTTAAAAAGAAAAAGAAAACACCAAGAATGGTCTATTTAGCACGTGAAACTTATTGGTCTAAAACAAATAAAATGAAAATGAAAATTTGTAGCTGTTGTTATTAATTTAATTAGGATTTTAAATTTTTTTATCAATTGATACTTCATCTACGTCGACACGAGAGGTAAATTAACATTTCCATTATATCATAAAAGCATCGACAAGATGTAATAAAATATCAGTAAAATATCACCAATTTATACATAATATTAGTAATAATCATGGTTTTAAATATCCATCGACATATCCATATTTTCATGAGTTCGACATTGATATGAGGAGTAAATCGACATTTTCATCATATTATAAGAAAATCGACAAAATAAACAAATATCAATAAAATGTCACTCATATATACGTAATATTGATATTAATTATTTTTAATTAATTTAGAAATAGGAAAATGTTTATTTGTTAATTTAAATATTTTTTATGATTTTTAAAATTTTTCTAACTTCTACAGAAATATCAATCGACATCGATATTTTATCGATATTTCCATCGATATTTCTATGAAATTGAGACCTCAACATTCCATCGACATCGACATTTAAAACTTAAGTAATAATAATTTCTAACTTGTTTAAAAAATGTGAAATGTCTATGAGTTAACTTAAATATATTTGTTTTAAAATAACAAATACTCAAACTTATTTTTTAAGGCTATTATTATTAGTATTACTATCTAATATAATTTTCCATTTCACGTGAAAGAACAGTTGGGTCCCACGTGCTTTTGAACTTTCAACTTCCACTCAGATACAATACTTAGAAAGATGGGTGACCTAAGTTTATAATTTAATCTAATTTAAATAAAATATATTTTTTCTATATACTTTCATTAAAATTTATAAAAGTTTACACTAACATTTAATCATGTCCAATCATGACATTTACATCATCATCCTATCTATTTTTCTTGGTTCAAACTACTGTGGCCACCTTTACCTAGGCAGTTATCAAATAAAAATAATAGTAATAATTAAAAAAAAAAACGCTCCCGCACTAGATTATGGAAATGAAAAAGATGGATGATTAGGGTAACTCATTTTTAGTTTTCTATTTTTAAAAAGCTAGAAAATTGAAAATACATATCAGAGAGGAAAATTATATCTACTTATAGAGATGATAATGGCGTGGGAGCGAGTGAGAATGCTCTCCTCCATTCTCGGGCTCGTAAAAATTTTTAGTCCCTGTCTCCACCTCATTCTTCGGTTCGAGAGATGTTCTCGAGAAAAATTATCGATTTTATAATTATTTTTAATTATTTTTAGAATTTAAATATAAAAATGTAATAAATATATAATAATTATTTAAAAATAGAATCGGGGATGACCCGGGACATGAAAAGACAAGTTTAAAGAGTTGTAAAGATAAATTTTAGAGAGATAAATAAAAAGATTTTTAAATAAAATAGTAAAAGAAAAATTAAAGACAAAAAAGAGAAATTTTAGAGAAAAATAAAAGTAAAGTTGAGAGGAAAAAATATGTTAAAGAAATAAAAAATTACAGGAAAAAGAAATTTAGAGATAAAAATAAGATTCAAATATAACTTTTAGAGAAAATAAATAAATATAGAGATAAATAGTTATTTAGAAAATAAGATATAATTTTCAGAAGAAAAAATATATTAAAATATGAAAGTTTAGAGAGAAAAAAGTTAGAAAAAATTATAATTTTTTTAGAGAGAAATCAAACTGATCTGTTAGGAAAAAAATAAAAAATAAAAATACAGAGAGTGAGAAATAATAATAAATATTCCAAATATGAAAATTTTAAAGAGAGAAAAATAAATTTGTAGAGAGAAATTTAGAAATAAAAAAATTTTAGAGTGAGAAATAAATATTTTAGAGATAAATATAAGAAAGAAAAAAAAATTGAGTATTAAAATAAAAAATAGATTTTGAAAAACAGAAACCTATTTTTAAAAACTACTTTTTTTTTTCTTTTGAAACTTAACGTAGAATTTTAAAATGATTTTTTAAAAACAAAAAATAGAAAATAGAATGAATTATCAAACCATCCTTATTTTAAACTAAAAATCCAAAACCAAAAACTTAACCAGTATTAGCAACAATATCACCTTTTAGAGTATCTCAATTCTGAGACAACAAATATTAAAAAAAATAAAATAAAAAAAATTCAAGGGAGAAATTGGAGATATTCTGTTCCACCAAAAGAATTATTTAACTTTTGCATACGAATTTACATGATGAACAAGCATTTCTCTACTTATGGATCAAAATATTTTGTTACTCCTAATTTTAGTTAAAAGTTTAAAACTCCATTTTCACCTTACTTTTAGTTTGTTTTCTATTGTCAGTAGCAAAATTTGTAAACCACAAAAGATAGTTTGATGCAAGTCGTAACTCAGGGATACAGATCATATAGATTCACATGATTTTGGGTAACAGAAGCCTAACATACGAGTATACAAGGCAATAACTAGGAGTTGGACATGATCATTGATGTAAGACTAAATCAGCTCGATCCTAGGCGTCCCCCGACTTCTTTGAAATGGCAATGACATTAAAGTTCAGCGACTCGGGATTTTTTGCGATCATTCCCTTTATGACTTGGGCTGCGTCCTGTGATTTCATCAACCGTTCACAAAATGCAGAAAAGAGAAGTGTAATATTCAGATGCATTGATGGAAGAGGTTGAGATTTGAGAAACAAGCAGCAAGATTCAAAAACAGAGTAACTAAAATATCTATGGTTCCACACCATTCTAGTAGCTAAAACTGACTTGGATAATTTTTCAGAGCAATTGTTTACCTTTAATAAATTGCTGGGTGATGTTGCACCATGTGATATCGGTCCCGACTTTCTCCCATCGAGCTCATAAAGTTTCCCTAAATAAGCAACAGTTAAGATATTGCCCAATTCATTATAGACATGACAAGTAAGCACTTTTTTTATTAGAGAGGGAGAGAGAGTCCCTAATAAGTTCTTACCATCTACACACGTGAAGCAGATAAAGTGTGTATCTACATTTTCCGAAGCCTGCGAAGCCAAATATAGACACGGCATGAACAAAGAATAATATAACACTCTTTGAAAACAGAATAGAAGTAGACGAGGACAGAGTTAGAGGAAAGTGGTGAGAAATCGAGGGCAAGGCACACACAGGCATTTATATACAGAGAGAGAGAGAGTATTTGTTCAAGTCAATCAATTTTGTGTTCATCGGGTCTCTAATCTCTAATCATTCAGGTTTTCTAATTTTAATCACTGAAATGCTTATCAGCAAAGGATATCTGTCAAAGCTTTATATTGAAAAACAAACCAAGTACCGAAGATTCACCTACAAGCTGAATGCAAACCTAAAGGAGTTATATCTATAGATCCTTACTTCTTAGTA